GGAAAAAAAACAGTAAAAAACTACAACAGATAACACAATAACCCAAATACGAGCAGGGCAATAGATTGCACATATTATTGTCCCTTGATTATTGCACATACTTGCATTATTCATTAGGTTTTTAATAATAATGTCATATTATTATACAGATTAACACAATAGTATTTGTTTTATATGTCTTCAAACATTTATAGAATAGTTCTTTTAATATGAAATATATTGAAAACTGCTGAACGTTATTTCACACATTGTGCTCTCAGCAGAGATAATCATCAATACCTTTTTTATTAATTGATTGTTGGGTGTTGACGTCACCAGGTAACACCTTTTGTTGTGACTATATTGTCACTGTAAGGTGCTGCTTGGATTTGTATTTTGATATTGAAATAGCAACTCTGGTGGCTTTAAATCTTGTGTGACATTTCCCATCCGTATGAATATTAATACGTCATCGTTTCCTTTGTAATTTCCCCTTATGTCTCAGGGATAAGCTGTTGGAGGATTGAAGCCAAATAATTCCATTAAGAAATAGCCACAGTAGTAATGGGGTGTCTCTTTCCGCACTCATGTCCTATAATTCAATAAAATTTCCTGATTTAAACACATAACAGTTTGTGCTTAGGAAGGCTTACCTCCGTAAATAACCCAATGGATCGAGCCCTGAGTCACTTGTTTATTCGCTGTTTGTGGAGCAGCTTAAGCATTTGTCTCCACCTGACATGATCAGCACCGACAGTCTCTAGTGTTCAGCTTAAAGAGCACAGTTATTCTATCACAGGGTGAATTTGTGTTTGCTTAAAAGTAAAATACTTGATCAATATCATGATCTGTGACATGTATTAAGGGCTTGTGCCCCAACAGAACGCCCTGTAACTTGAAGATGACCAATTTCCTTTCTGTTTCTTCAGCGTATCCGCCGTTGCAGCAGCCATTCAGAAGATGACAAGAGTGCGTGTAGTGGACAACAGCTCGCTTGGAACTACACCGTATCACCGCGCACCAAGAGTGATTCATGTCTACACCAAGAATGGGGTCGGAAAAGTTGGTGACAAGGTGTTGCTTGCCATCAAAGGACAGAAAAAGAAGGCGCTCATCGTTGGACACAAAATGCCTGGAGAGCGGATGACTGCGCGCTTCGATTCAAACAATGTTGTTCTGATTGAAGACAACGGGAACCCTACAGGAACAAGGATTAAGATCCCTTTACCGACGCAGCTACGCAAAATGGACGGAGATTATTCTAAAGTCCTAGCAATCGCCAGTTCGTTTGTTTAATACATCATTTAACTGTTTTTTTTGAGATGTATATAAACTCTGTATTTCATGTACATGTTCGCAAGTAAACTTTAAACAGAGCAATACACCTTGTCACAGTTATTGTCTCAGCACTCCAGTTACTTAATGTATGTAATGGACTTGAGTTGCTGTCAACATGTTTGACATTCTTGTAAGTCCTCTCTATGCTTTCAATAAACATGACCTTTACCTTGAACACATAGCATAGGAGTTTCTGGTGCAGCCTGAACAGCCAAATGTGGGTCTAACTCATGTTATCATGAACACAATGAACAAACCGAGAAAGCATGAGGGGAAATATTTATTGAAGGCACAACATACATTCACAACACAAAACACATGACTAGCACATTTTTAATAGCCGTTTAACATCATGGTGTCGCGTATAAGGCATTCAGTATCATGTGATCCCTGGATATTTCACTTGAGTGGACTGATGTACAGTATTTTTCACTACCAGCTTCCTAAACTAAATGTCTCAGTGCAAAATAAAAACAAATCAAGTAAAACAAAGGTTAGCCAGCTGACTTCAACTAAAGAAAATGATTGGTGCGATATATAAACAGGCTAAACTTCAATATTAAATGTCAATAAAAAATACTTTAGTGAACATTAGATCAGGTCTGTGCTGCCATCTACAGGTGAATGAACTACCAACTCAACAGTGAGGCGATCATTTTCTGTTAAAAAACCTTCTAAAATCTGGACAAAAATTTAAACATGAGTGCATAATAAGAGAGACTTCATCTTTTAAAGCAATACAGTAACAGATTGCTTCTACGTTTTTTGTTCCTTAGCGATCCAGCTTTTAGTGAGATTTCAAACTAAGAACAGTGAAATTATTGTCTGTAAATCAGGTGACATTCATACAGACAGCAAAACTAACATGTAATATAAAATCAACATACAATACACTTTACAGCTAGTGATTTTTGTCATGCACAGACTCATGCTGTTTGTACAGAGATGACACATTTATGTGGCACAGTGACTGCTTCATACTTTATGTTTGCATAGTTGCACAGCAAATTCAGCGGGGAGACACTTGGCTTGGCTGGACTTTGGTTTTTTCATTATGCAGCTCATTTGCTACTCAAGGTATGTTGAGGTGGGATGTGTTACAGGATCAACAGGTCAACTAAGGCTGAGGTGTCTTCAGAGCTTGAGGTTTCATGGCAGTCTGCAGGCCCTGTACCAACCTCCAGTGAAGACGGTCCTCTTCAACCACACATTGTCAGGTAAAGCCACTGGCAATTTAAGAAATAAAGATTAGATGAAGAGAAACGATCAACCAAATGTACTGAAATTTTCTATTAAAACAGAATTTACCTCTGAGATATTCATCTCAGCCTCTCCGGACCCATCCTTGTCGAACTGCCGGAAATACCCTGTTAAAAAGATGAAAAGTTTTCACAAAAGTCTGCAAACTTACCTTTAGAATAACATCTATTTGAATAATACTCACTAAACATGGCTTCAAGCTTGACCAAGCAGCAGATGAAGTTGTCAAAGTCAATCATCTCATTCTCTGCATACCGGGCTACCAGAATCTGGTTCAGTTTGTTATTCAGTTTAAAGCCTACACAGGAAGACAATACAAGTAAAAGAAAAGGTCAGATTTCTCACCTGTTAAGAGTGCGTACAGTAAATAATTGATTGAAAATGATAATCAAGAGCATTATACCTGCTGCCTCCACAGCAAGACGCATCTCATATGAGCTCATGGCCCCTGACTTGTCGAGGTCAAATTGTCTAAAAATGACCTGAGAGACGGAGACAGAAATGTAAATAGAAATACAGGGACTCAAATTGTGCATAATGTTCCTTTAACATTATTATTATACTCATTCTTACCAGCCAATTTCGGATTTTGTTCCATAGGAGCTGAAACTCCACCAGCCCTAAACGGGCACTACCATCTTTCTGGTAAACACAGTGTCAAGGGGTGAAACTAAACACTGGCATCCCAAACGCTCACATTCATTCATTTCTAATAAAATAATGCTAATTTAATAGTTTGTGTGAACTCAAGAGGATACATCCATCAGGTTGACCATGGTCCTACATGATTCCACACTGAAGCCATCAGTCTTCAGATCTTTGTCTGAAACAGCAAAAACACTCATCTGAAACAGTCCAACACAGTTACACCGAGGCTCGCGAGAGAGGCAGTCAAGGAAACGGATGGTGTACGCTCTACAGTGGAATCTAATACAGTAATGGAAGATGTATTACTAATATGTAAACTTTCCAGTAGCTATGAATCATTGACTAAAAATAAAACTCACGCCGGGTGACGACTCTGTTTAGGATGGTCCTGAGCTCGCGAATAGAAATCTCCATGTCCTGCAAAAGAACAGAAGACAGAGTCTTTAGTAAAAATGACTTTATTTTCTTCGACATAACAAGGGTGACACCAATTTGGATCTTTTAACAATAATACCAGTGTTAGCAAGAAAAATACAATACAATACAAATATTAGGAACACTGAGACCGATCTTACCTCTCCTGCTAGCTGAGCGAACATGGACTTGAAAGAGTCATCAATGTCGTCTTCAGTTACTTCCTCCTATAAGAAACCACATATATAAAAGGCACTGGTTTATTATAGGGATCCTAGTTATTTCCTGCTATTCTTATACCATACTATGTAACATTTTCATTTCCCCCCACAGTTTTGTCTCACTGATACGTACGTCCTCGCCTAAATCGGCAGAGATCTCATCATCCAGTTCTCTGTAACAGACAAAAACATATTAGCATGAGATTTATATTTCTACACATGTACACAAATACATAAACTGACACTTCACACAGACACATACTCAGTTTCTGATTGCTTCTCAGTGAAGACTCTGAGGACAAAGTCAGCTTCTTTGCTGGGCTCAAAGGTGGAGGGGACGATGATATACTCTCCAGGGGGCAGTCGAAGCCGCGTGCTCACCTCTCGCAGGTTAATGAAGGTCTCCGAGCGAGCGCACGATGAATGTCTCAAAAAGAAATCTTTCTTCAAATGGACATTCTGGCAGCCTCTGTACTAAGGGCAGTAGGAAACAACGCATGGGTTGAGATGCATTTGCATGTTTTTAAGCACATAATTTATATTATACATACTCACATTATTGCCAACTATTTTACAAAGCATAACACAGACAATTTATTTAACTTCTAACTGCATTTCAACAAATCTAACTTTCATATGGGATGGAAATTAACTTGCAAAGATTTAAAAACTTGCTTGAAATTGGTCATCCATAATACTGAACATCAAGTCTGCTTTCATTGTTGTCAAATTTGTGGTGGAGTGAATATCTAAATCAAGTGTAAAGTTTCTGTGATTATTATACAATGAATGTGATGAAGACAATGTACAAAAAACAATGGCTTAATAGGAAGGTAGAAAAAATGCTTTTTAAAATTCAAAAATGATCAGCAGAACTGTCGAATATACATAATTCAGAGTAAATTGGCTAAAACATGACAAAGCATGGTATGATCTTAATCAAATAGTTAAATAAACAGTGGTAGTAATGGATTTTCTGCCTACCTCGTCTGGAATCTGCACAAAAGAAGAGAAGAGACAAAATTAACATTAATGAGCTGAGGCAAACCTTTCAAAAATAAAGTAATGTTTATATGTGAATAATCCATGAGGGGCAACACTGATTTTCCATCTCTGCTCTCACCTCATAGACAGCAAAGCCAATGGTGTGCATGTCCTGACCATGGCGTCGATATCTGCGGCGGTCCTTCTGCATGAGAGCAACTAAAAAACTGCACGCCACCTCATCGTCCTCTGGGTCATCATCCTCTTCCAGCAATGTGATCTTATACTGAGGGTTGATCCAAAACGTGTCTACACAAAGAGTTTCACAGTCACAGTAACATTACAGGACCTGTTTGCATTTCAACAGAGACATTTTATGACTTGATTATCAGTAATAAAAACAATGCCACTTTTACATGAAAGGCATTTTTCCTGTGACCATATGATTGGTGGACTCACTGGGATTGTTCCTGCAGCCTCCAGCGGTGCTGCCTCTTCTCCACGTGCCGTAGAACTTCATGGTGTTCCAGTGGCTGAGACTATCCTCACTCAGAGCGTCTGGAGACAAGTTACAGATCTCTAGCCGAGAGAACTGCCTCTTGAATTCACTGAAGGATATCCTGGAAGATTAAAATAAAGTTTTAGGGCCGTAACCGGAGTGCAAGATTTTTTAAAGAATAATTTTTTGGGGAAATATGCTCATTCACTTTCTTGCAGAGACTTGGATCATAAGATTGATACGACTATCATGTCTGTGCGGTAAATATAAAGCAACATAACAGCCAGCAGCTGATGCTTAAATTAAAATAAATACTGGAAACTACAGAGCTCTGGAGTGGTCATAGAGAGAAAAACATATATGATCACAACTCTGCGGGATCAGGTTCAATCCTTTTACCAAACAGCCATTACCACCCAATTCAAAAAGAGTTTCTGTACTCCTATATGTTGCTATAGGCCTGGCATTACACAATTAAACAACAGAAAGTATTACAGTGGATTGAACAACTACATAAAAGAAGCTATACTATACAATGACTATAAAGAAATGCTAATATGCAAGTTGACCACATGGTGGCTCTCTAGCATCAAAATAGTAATTATTCTTACACACAGAGACTGGAAATAGTAATAATCAAATCAAATCATAACACAGTCAAACAAACTAATAGCAATGTACATTGATACTGTACAGTTCTGGCCATCACATTGTCCATTACTTCCTCATAATGGACACTTTGTCCAATCATAATCCCTTATATATTCACTAAATCAACATACTCTGTAGGTAAATAAACACATGAACATTAATAGGCTGCATAGGGAACGAATTGTATCTCGTGCCCGCCAGTGAAAACATGAAAACGGACACAAAAGCATTAATATCGCTCAGTGTAGTAAAACGTGGTAGTAAACCTCGATGTAGTAAAACATGGTAGTAAACCTCAATGTAGTAAAACAAAGAAAAAGGAAAAACTTAGTTAGAGACAGAGCCAACCTAACTGTTTCCTGTCTCCAGTCTTTAGGATAAGATAGGCTAATTATTTCCTGGACGTAGCTTAAGGGAGTACTCCCCCTTCAATGACGGGGAACTGATTCGTCCACTCTGCACTTGAGGCAATTTATCTGATATCGAGTGGCAAAAGGCTTTACACAGCTTTTTTTATACATGCACTAGAACTCCCCAACACCTATAACAATGATGTATAAATTTGGTAAAGATATGAGAATGGTATCAATGTTCTTATCTAACTCTCTGCAAAAAAGGGAATAAGTATATTTATTTCCCAAAATGTGAAACTACTCCTTTAAAATACCTATACTACATAAAATTGCAATACAGTACATGCACCTGGGACATCTTACCAAAACTCCCCATCTTCCATCTTAAGATGCAGGTCTTCTCGTTCAGAAGGGTCAATCTCATCCCATTCAGAGGAACTGTACACAACAACGACAGAAATAAACATTCAGTATGAGATATACTCATAAAAGAAGACATTAACCAGACAGAACTAGGGATTCAATTATTTCTAGTACACAGGGACATTTATTATGCTTTGGCATACTTACTTGTCACTCCAGGCACCAGTCCACTCCACCTGGCCCCAGGGGTTACGTATTCGGATCAAGCGCTCCATGTTGCCCCGGTAATCAACCTATAGAACACACGCAGTGATGGGCAATTTAGGACCATTGGTATTATTCATACTGGTTACCAATTAAAGAACAGATTCATACACAGACAGACCTCCTTCAATCCAGTGACCGAGTAGGCGTGGCCCTTCACAAGCTTCCTGAATGTAACAGCCTCCATGTCGAAGGCACTTGTGATCTGTATTAATATGAAAACACCATTACTGCATCCGAATATGAATTGTCTAGCACAGAAATAAATAGAAGTGCTTTTAATGATATTGGCTTTCTCAAGGGGGTGCAACATTGATCTACGTGTCTTGATGGTGTGTCAGTGTGTTCAGCACTTACATCAATAGAGCAGCCCATCAGAGAGCCTCTCTCCAAAGCTTTGCCGATTATTCTGTGCAGATCTCTGGGAGCGCTACGGAGTTCGTACATCTCAGAAACGCCACCAGTGAAGTCCTCAAACCCTTCTGTGGTGCTTCCTCCTGACAGAGCCTCATAGGAACCGTTCAGCCTGTAACCATGTAAATAAAATAAAAAAACACTTCAGCTTGATTGCCATCTACAGCAGCACTTCTAAATGTGGTTTACAACTTCCTGCTAAATATACTGAATAATTTAATCATTAGGAAGCCTTTCCAAAACCTACTTAGCATAAGCCTTCTCCAGGAGTGCACTCCAGAATTCATTGCCCTCAGCAGAGTGGACAAACATCAGCTCCCCGTCTTTGACAGGCAGCCTGTCATCTATCACAACGTCTACCCATTCGCCAAACTGCCAGAACTGCAACACAGAGCAATAATCAAAGACTCCATCTATCTAAATTGCTTGCCTTACGCGAAGTTGATAGGAAGGGCAAAGAGAGGAAGATGATCTTAAAGTACCTGGAAGTGGAAAATCCCAGCATAGTCGTCTTGGAAGGACTGCCCATGTGGAACAACCCGATGAAGAAGCCGCTCATTCAGAGTGAGAGAGGCAATGGCTGCTAAGAGCCAGCAGTCACCTGCAAGTGAAGGAGAAGAAGCAAACTTTATCTAATTCTGTCTTCTTATTATCATTCCAGGATTGATTCAACATTAACAGTGACAACAAGAGCTCACCCAGCGCGCCCTGACAGATGTCTGTTCTGGTGGCACCACCCACAATGAACTGAGGGTCATCTGTCAGTTCCTAAACAATCAATCAAATTCTCAGAATTCAGACCTGTCAACACATTTTACGATCCACTGTAAAGGGTTTTATAGCAGTGGTTCCCAACCTTTATCCTGATAATATTCATATTATATTCAATGCACAATAGTAACAGTACAGAACACCTGATAAACTGTACAATTAAGGACAAGGAAGTTTGTGTAAAATGAGCAATTTCGGTGAATTTGGAGCAGATTATTTCCTGATAGTTTTAGGAACTTTTTTCTGTATTATGTTTTTGTTTTGTTTTTCACAATCATACATATTACCTAAGCAAACAATTTCATTTAGTTCTCTTCAGAGAAATTAATTAAATGATAAGTTATAGGCCAACATCGTATATTCTGGTTTTCTTACACCCCTTAAAATCAAGAAGGCCTCGCAACTCCAGCCAGGTTGGGAGCCCCAACTATTGCTATTTCTGCATCTATGCAGCAGGTTTGTGTGTTTTAATGAAGTACTGTAAACAACTGTCGGAGCGAGGGAGCGGTCAGAGAATGCCATGCGATGCCAACAGCTGCAGTGGTCTGAGACGTTCCTGTCTCTACTTGTCCTATTCTGTTTGAGTTTGTAGACGTGCAACAAGACAGTGTCACTGATATGTTTGTTTATATGATGCGTTTCACTGCTGAGTTGTGAAATATAATGAGTGAGGTATTTCCACTTAATTTGCAGCTCTAGTTCTGGATTCTGAGTCTTAAATTGTCTTTTGTTCAGTTGTGTGCATTAGTAGTAAGTCATTAACAAACTGAATAAGCTCATGATTAACTTTCTCGCTCAAGTTTTCTCACCGTGGGCCTCATCCACTCCACATCTTTCGTTTTGGCGGAATAAGGGGCGAGCTCCTTGAAGCCCAGGGATGGAGGCTCTGCAGGGAAACAGGGGTCTTCAAACAGGCAGCCCGACTCCACACACTCCTGCTTCAGTGCCTCATAGTCCTGGTTGGAGAAGTGCACAGCCTGGTCGTTGGAACCCATGCCTTCTGCCCGCAGCCTGTTGGCGTATATGCTTGCACAGATCCCTCCAGCTGGATACATACTGGTGGGAGACAAAAATATGGAGCTGGGTAGGTATGCACAACACTGGCTATAAATAGCAGAAAGCTAATCGGCGGCACACTCTGGTCTAAGAGTTACAGCACAGCAATCAGGTGTGGGTGTGTGTGTGGAGATATAATAAAAAAATATAATATAATGTTCATACTAGATAAATATTGATGCTGATTGAACTCAATCTGCCTTCAACTAGTTAGTGTGGCCAATTCTACATTATAACTCAAAGCAACAAAAAGCTGAATAGCTTTTTTATTGATAACAATATAACACACAGCCTCAATAACTGAACTCAGGTCCTATTATTCATTTACTGAACTTGTACCTTTGAACCTGTATGGATTTTACATTGTACAATTAAAAACTTACACATGATCAGTATTTTATAAGGGGATCCATTACTTTTAGACTCATTATGTTTAAATCTGACTACTTTTTAGCCAACACAAAAATAAATAAACAGAGGATTCAGCATTTCTTCCCAAGAATTTAGTTCCTGACAGTGTGAAGAGTTTTATTTCCTTCTTATTGGGATATAAATAAAACATTTTGAGCAGTAACAGAGTAAAAGACAAAAAGTAAAAGTAAAGTAAAAAGTCAAAGTAATTGAAAAGTTTACACTAACTCCATGGTGTGATGGTGACATGAAAACTAAAAGTTAAAAGTAAATATGCTGCTATGGAAACTACAGTTAGAAACTGACGTAAATAAAAGCCCAGCAGAGAAATAATAGACATTCAGAAAAGCAATTACTGAGAAACATGAGACAAGACGCCACCTTAAACACAGCAAACCGAGGAATAACAAAAGAACGTGTAGAAATATGATACCTTGTCTGTATGGGCAGGCTGAGAGGGAGAATGAGACAAGAAAAGGAGAGAAAGGTCATTCACTGGTAAAGATAAGTGTTTTCTTTCAAATCATTTGCATTGTCCTGAGTTACAGAAGCTTGTGCAGCTGTGTTTCCATAATGGACCTCAGTGTTTACAATGCAGTGGGATTCCATAAATGCACTTGCTCTTCTGTGCCGCAGAGTTTCACATCTTTCAGTCAAGTCTCCAGAGAGGACGTTAATAGCTTTGTGAGGAAACCAGGAGTTATAAAGTACCAAATGCGTCAAGAAGCCGGCTGATGACATCTAAAGTTGTTACATGGCTATCTATCCTCTTTCTGAATCAGTGCTGGGAAGCTGGGACGGCATCTTTTGTGCGGCTCTGCTCTACTAGACAGGAATCCTAATGAGCTCAGTTCAGTAAACAGTCCGGACACTGAAAGTAAGAAGAAGGGGGAAACTTGGATGAAGCTGCAGTGGTTAGGTGCCAGGACATGCATGAGGGGGGAAAATGACTGACTTTCTCTAAATGAATTAATAAAATGGGTTGTGTTGCTGTGGAAAAAAAAATACTCTCTGTTTTCAGTAGAAACAACTGTGCAGACAAGGACTTTGTTTAAAGGGGCCAGCCCCCCAACCCGAGGCCCCACATGCCTGTGGAGTCTGCAGGAATGTCCCTTTGCTTTGTCACACATCTAGAGAGAGACTACTGCTGGCTATTGATCAAAAGGATATCTCTATTCCCCCCCAATGGGCAGAGAAAAGCTGATCCAGCCATTCCTGTGACGATGATGTCATTTTCAGGACTTCAACCTCAACAATACCCTAAAACAGACCCCAGCCTCTCCTGTCACTGAGCTCCCCTTTACTCTAAATACACAGAATAATGCTGCATATATGTGGGCTGCTTTGTGAATACAATCAAAAAGCTACAGTCGAGCCAGGCATGTATCACAGGCTCAGATTGTTTACAGCACCTGTTCAGAAGTAGGGCCTTGTGTTTTTATGGCCTGCGAGTCTGCTTCACAGATTTCTAACATCTTTACACAGCACAATCACACTCATATCGGATATCAGAGCTGAACACAACCTGTGTCTGAATGTAACAGCTGTGGCTGTGTTGACTAATATTAGTGCGACAACGTGCAGCATATTTTTTTTTTAAAAATCAAACAACCCGCACGGTGGCCTACACTACAATAAAAACCATGAAGCACCGTTAACTTCAGGCGGCTTCAATCAGCGCTTTCAGTGACACTGGAATAAAACAAGACTTCACTCACCACCGCTTTAAAGGCAACTCGCTGCTCCTTTAAAATGAGTCGGGTGGTGATAATCGTGTAAATCTGTGATAAAAGGGGGCAGTGGTTCTGGTAGCCAGGAGCGCAGGTCCGCTGGTCCAACCCTCCCCACACTGCAGGGAAGACCAGCCCCTTACAGGAGGAGGGGCCAGTGCGCACACCCAGCAGTGCGCACACACTGCCGCTAGAGGCTCTGCAGACAGTGGGGCTGTAATACATAACGCATGCTATTCAGACTTAAAAACTTTAATAATGACTGCAATTAGACAGATTAAGGCACATATTATACATTGACACAATGTAAGGCTGAAAGTACAAATAAACACTATGTTGTTTTATAATAAACTCTTTGTGGGATTGGCAATGAATACATGAATGAATAATATATTACATTTAATATCATATGCAACATGCTATTTTAGCTATATGCTACACTACCCTGCTGACAGGTCAATATCAAATAGGATCACCTATAAAAGTTAATTATAAGCTTATATATAATTGTTCCCTTGAGTGAAATTCAACTCTTATCTACTATATGTCAATCTGCTAGATAACCCTTCCTGCACACTGAAACTTGTGTGTCTCACCTGGGAGATAATGTGCAGTAAAAAAAAAAGCAAAGGTCACCAACCAACACATCTACCAGGCTGGTCGCTGAGGAGACACTAATATAGGTGTTATTAACCTTTTATTGGTTATAATGCACTTAAATTATATTCAGAAATTAATGCCAATTTGTCAGTGATAAAGAATTAAATATATTTGTTGAAAGCTTGAATAATATGTGTCCTTAAGTCCTTAAATGTTACTTGAATTTCAGTGTAGAAGTTGATTGAATCAGCAGTAAAGTGACATTGCTACTGTCCAAATGTTTGCAGATGATTAAAGAGACTCTAAATAACTAATGTGGCCCACTACCTGTGTCTGTTTATCCCTTTTTATAGATGAACACACTTTTCAGCCAAAATTAGACCAGTGTTGATGATTTCACATGAGAGAGATCAGTATCTCTTTTTTCCTCCCTGCTCGTCTTACTGGATTTAGTTGGAAAAACAATGGCAATCATGTTTCTCTGTGCACCAATCAGGATTTAGCCTTTAGCTAATCTGATGACAGTTGGTGGATTGTTTGATCTCTAATTATCAAACCACACCCAAACAGTCCTGATAAGGCAGTTTTTTTTATGTTAAACCCCTAATAATCCATAGATAGATTTATTTGTTTTACTTTTTTTTGCTTATTTACTTTTGAATATTTAATATTATTGAGGAATTCTTAAGATTTAAAGCCAAGATTTCAGGGGCTTTAATAAATATTTTATATTAACCATGGATAAAATGACTATGTAGAATGTAAAAGGGCTCATTCGTAGTGACAAACTCACAATAATCATCCAACTCTGCTGATCCCCTCCAGTCTAAGGAACATTTTAGCGTCTTTCAGTTCATTGTTTTGGTTGTCTGACCTCCTTGCTTTATTTTTTTGGTTCACTTTCATCTGTGTGATTACCACACGAAGCAGGAAGGTCCACAGTGACAATGCTCTAATAAACCTGCTGCACACTATCTGCTCAGCACCAAATGGCAGACAAGTAAAGTTAGCAACTCGCTGGTGAACAAAGTGCTAACTGCTGAAAAGTCTGACATTTCCCACAGGACTCGATGGAGAGCAAAACAGAGCTAAAATTAGAGTGAGTGTTGAACTTGCGTTCATCAGGTTGACAGAAAAAGGACTCCAAATAAGTGCAAATGTTTCTCTGTGCCTGCAGCTGTTTGATAATACAGTAATAACAAATTAGCAGTTAGTATCAATTCAATAAGGGGATATTATGTTAATGTTTGGTTTGGTTTGTTGCACTTCCCCAAAGTGACCAAAAGCTCAATTAATGCAATTCAAATGTATTAGTTTCTTCAATTACTTTTGGTCCCCTAAAACAGATCCCTTGTGTAAAAACATCTAATGGATGTAAACACAAAATTAAAACAAAAGGCGGCGCTTAAACCACAGTCAGTGTTCATTTCAAATACAATAAGCTGGTGTTCGCAGCAACAAATGTCTCAGATATTTATACTGCATTTAATATTGAAGACAGATCATTAGTAAAGTGCTTATTCACAAAAGAGTAGCTGATTTATTTAATCTACTCTAAACAGGTAGCAAAGTCAAAGTAATGTTTATTCAGGCTAATATCAGCTTTTACTCACCTCATGATAATCGATGATGTCTATTTGGTAAAAACATCCGTACATGTATAATTAATCATTTAATACCACATAAGCCTAGTAATAATGTACTGTCTATCATGTCTAGCATTACATTATAGCCATAGAGCATTTACTAACATAGGAAGAGAGATACATTGTGATGGGACTGTTAAGAACCTGTTTAATGGTTTATATGACCTTAAAACTCATTATATGCTTTCATTAGAGTCTTGCTGATGTTTTCTAATGCTGATCAATCACTGACTGCTAGCAGTTGTTGTGCAGTATGTCAGCAAACTGCTTCCAAAGATCAATAACCAAGAAAACCAACAACAAGAAGGGTTTTTTTCCGGCTTGGCCTGCATTTAAAAAAAAAAAACAAGTAACTTAGATTTTTACAAATTTAACAAGTTATATCAGCATATCATCACTCAGAGTTGTTGTACCAGTTTAAGTTAGTACCGTACAGACTGACTCAGTGCACATAAGAATGCTCACTGTGAAAATCAGCATAGGTATTAAGTCTAAAGCTGAACAGTAGAGTGGTGATGGTTATTATTAACACTCATTTGTCAAGTATGTTCACAAACAAGTCAGTGTAGACACAGTATTCTGTGGTTTATGACCCACCCTTCCTCCAGCTTCCCACAACACAGCTGGCTTTAGAGGCGGTATGGATAACCACAGAATTGTTATCTAAGAGGATATTCTTATGTCCATTGGATTTGGATGATTGAATTAGAAAATATGTGGCTCATATGTGGTACAGAAGCATCCATTTAAGCCGGAATAGTCCAGACAATCTGCTGAAAACAAAATTATTTATGTATGTACGTTAATGTGTACATATAAGATTGTAGAAGATTTTTTCTACTAATAGACTGTTTCTTTACTTTGAGCAATAACACTAATTGTATCTCCACACTGGATCAGAAGCTCCTTAGCAACCACCCGTTTATTGAGTCCTCAGATATAGTCATTGTCTTTTTTGAGGTAGTTAAACAAGGGTGGATTCACTATCATTCACTACCTTCTATGCATGTCCTTATTTACCATGAGTGTATCTTTGAGTCTAACATATGAATCATCTTCCTATTAAACAAACAGTGTTGCATTCAATGCCTGAAGCACGAATGCAGTTTCTGACTAAACCAGCTGATCACCGACTCTGAGAACTGTTTGACTAAGGATTAGCCTAGCTGTACTTAGCATAGAGGATTTAAGTACAGAATGAGGATACGAGATCACTGATGCAATGTCAATCATATGCCATTTTTTGGCATTGCTCAATTTAACAGTTGCTTCATTTTGAGCTTCCCTTTCACAACCCTCAGCTATGCATTACATGTAACCCCAAAACACCTCAACCTTTTTCCATTTTCTTTTGTTTTTAGCACTACGATTATCTTCTGATTTTACAGAAGTACTAATGAATGCATTTCATACTCCTTTAAATCAAGAAAAGAGTTTGTTTACTCTGCTTTTGTTATGTACCCGTATCAGAGAGGGGGTGATAATAAATGCAATACACTGCCCACACTACCACAAACAAAATGAAGCAATAATAGTGGTGCTTCAGGCTGCCTTTAGGCGTGTCCCTGTTTGTATTTCAGTTGTGGTCACAGCTATCTAATTGTAGATTTGCATTGTGTTGCTTCCTACTCTGTTCACCTCACCTGTCCGTGGAGGCCCCTCCCTGTCTGTAATCCCACCCTGTCTTCCCCTCACCTGTTGCAGCTATATAGGAGGCTAGAACAAAGACAGGTCTGAATTGTGTTTAGCTGGTGGAAGATCAGCTCACAAAGAGGGATATCGCCATTCAGAGAGTCTACATACACTTGAGAGGTGAGGATGACGTCCACGGCAGATCGACTGGCCCGTCAGCAGAAGAGGGAAGAAGGCATTGGCACCAACCAACAGGCAGTGAAGTTCTTGGGGCAGGATTATGAGACTCTTCGCCAGCAGTGTCTGGAGAGTGGACGCCTGTTTGAGGACAACTGCTTTCCAGCTGAGGGCAAATCACTGGGCTACAATGAGCTGAGACCATACTCATCCAAGACCAGGGGTGTTGTCTGGAAAAGGCCATCGGTAAGAATCCACTGAGAAGGAAAACACAGAAATACACAGTTTGTACTATAATATTATACTGTGGTTAGTGAGCTTGGCAGTGAGTGTTGGATGTTCTTTTCTTTTTCTTAACTGCAGCTATTTAATATTTTTTAAGCAGGGAAGCAGAAGTAAAGACAATACATTTAAAGAGTAGCTGTAACTAGTTACTTTCCAACTGCATCTGGATCAGAAGGTTGAATTAATGCCTCAGATACTGAACTATCATGTACAAAAAACTGCTAAATACTCCATTCACTATAGTAATAATAAAAGTGGTCATAAAAACTATACCAAGTATTACAGTGAGGATTTATTCTGCCTTTTCAGAGCTTACTTAAATGATCTCTGTGTGGCCAGCTGCTGCATGAAATAAAGCTGATTTGAATATGAAAGGTCAGACTGTGCAGGTTTTTGAACAAAGCAGCTCCAGAATTTTGTCTTTTCAGAACAGAAGGACAATAATGTGTTGAATCATAGTAATTCTTCTGTAAGTGTCAATACTTTTAAAGGGTGTATTTTTCTTTTAACATAGTCATCAAATAAAAATCATTGAATGCTATTCAACCAATCCATGGAAATGTTTCTCGAAAACTACTCTCTTAAATGTTCATCTCTTTGTGGTTGCTTGGTGCTCTTTGTAGGAACTGTGCTCAGACCCAAAGTTCATTGACGATGGAGCCACAAGGACGGACATTTGCCAAGGAGCTTTGGGTAAGTGATGGGAAAGAGGATTGGTACATGATGGGTGGATGAATGATGGGGTGTTTTGGTTTTTAAAAGGGGACCACAAACATGCTGAAACCCCTCCAC